GCTTGAGTCGGTAGAAAAATTATCTGGAATCGAATAGGGTTGTGAACTGTGTGATGGAGAGCAAGGTTAACAAGGAGACTTCTTTCTTGTGCCATTTGATTTTGTAAAACAAAGAATTGGACTTGTTCTTTAGTTGTTGTTGTGTCGCACCACCACCCCCTACCGCCCCCTGGAAGTCTTCTTTACCTCTGTCAGCCAGGTGTTACCCAGGTGATCACCTGTGCTGGGTGCTTTTTGTGTGTTCACCAACTGCCTGATACTCTCTTCTGAGTTACCTTTTCCAACAGGTGAGAGGCCAGCATACTAGCTGTTTTGCCACTGGGCACACACTACCAAGAAGGAGAGGTTTGTCCTAGCTTCTTCAGCCAAGAGCCCCATCCCCAAGCCTGCAGTCTGACGCATGACAGCCCCATCGGTCAGAGCTGAGCTGCCCCGTCAGGTTCCCATGGCTATAAATCTTAGTGGAAGCGGACCTCCACATCTTTCTCCCACAAAACTGCTGGTTCTCCTTGCTGACTCACAGTGATCCCCTGTGGGTTTGAGACTGTAACTGTTTCCACGAGTAGAAAGCCCAGTCTTTCTCCCTGGGAGCTGCTGGAGGTTTCGAATTGCTGGCCATGTATAACCACTACACTGGCAGGGCTCCTAAAGTTGCTGGTGTTGGCCTTTTGGTGAGCAACTGAGCACTATCACCACAGTGCCAAAAGCCAGGTGTCCTGATGCGCCACACTGCGGAAAACCATACACCATGTGGTGACTGGACAAGAAGCTGGAAAAGGTAGAGTTGATCTAGGATCTTGCAGAAGGGTGGAGTTTGGGTGAAATGTAAATGAGAACACCCTCTGATGAGCTCAGAGGAAAGTGAGGTCCACATCAGATCTAAATGGTAGTAGACCCTCAACCCTGCCCTTTTGGAATCAGTCAAGTTCAGACAGGTATGGAATGTGACACCTAGATGTCCGAGCTCTGAACTGAGGTTGTAAATTGAGGTTGCTGGTCTATGTTAGACGGCTTCCAAACCAAATTCAAACCAAATTCACGGCCTACGATTACATTCCGGCTACGTAGTGACCCTCCCAGACGGTAGAACTGCCCCTGTGGGCCTCTGAGACTGTCACTCCTCAAAGGCGTTGTTTTGAGAATGATGAGGGCAATGAATATACAAATGCACTTTACACAATTGATGTGTGTATGGATTATGATAAGAGTTGTATGAGCCCCTAATAAAATGATTTAAAAAAAGTGTTTTCCATGTGATTATAAGGCGTAGCCAGAGTTGAAAATCAACAATACACTTCCCCTCTCTCCCTCCTCCCTTTCCACCTCTTTTCTTCCCTCTACACACACGCAGGCAGGCATGCAGGCAAACACACAGTAGACTTCGTCTCGGAAGCCATGGAAAGGTTTCAGGTACTGACCAGCATTAAACCTTCCAGGTAAGCTTCCAGACTGCCCCCAGAGACTGGTGTGATCTCTCCCCTCAGGTAACTTGGAGATTGTGAATGGCGCCAGAAAACACACAAGAGACGTGGGATTGAATTTCCCAACTCCGAGTTCTAGTGAGGCTCGATTAGAGGAGGACAGCGATGGGAGTTCTTTTCTGTCTGAAATAAAAATCGAGGAGAAACGGATCCACGCCTGTCTTCCCCCGGACAGAAAGTCAAGGAGGAGCATGACAAGTCTCTGTGAAGGTCAGTTTCCAATTTCAGGATGTAGCACAGAGGCTCTAATGAATGTCAAGCTTCCCTTAATATGCTAAAAGCCCTTGTTTCTAAAGCCCACCACAGCCACCACCTTGGCAAATTCCCCAAATATCTGGCATAGCACCATGACCTGCAGTGAAACCAGACCTGG